GGCCTCCCTGGAAGGAAGCCTGTGCTGTTGTCCACAGATGGCCCTTGTGGCCTGCAGGAATGCAGCCGAAGGGACGGGTGGGACGCGGGGGTGGTCTGTGAGTGCTGAATGTGACAGATCGTAGCCTAGAATGTTCTGTACAGTCTCCAGAGCTCTGACTGTGCTGGAAGCCACTTTTTCCCTCTCTGCCTTCTCTGTAGCACGTTAATGGCCCCAACTGGTAGAACTGTTTGGACGTGCAGACAGCTTGATTTATCCCAGCTCTGTTCTTAAATGGTTGCTAATTTCTCACTGTAAGAAAATTCACAGTTTTCCAGTGAGTCAGCTGCATAACAAAATGAGGGCAGACAGTCTAGCTCATGCTAAACTCACTGTAGGTGCTTCTTGTGAACATAGGAGTGCTCTGAGTCCTGGAGTCTCATTGCAAAGTAGAACAGAATGTCTTCCTTCAGACCATGGGTGAGGCCACAAGCACACTACAGGGTCGTGGGAACACTCTGTGTGCCCTCCCCTGCTGCAGGTACGTGGTGGACACCCGAGGCGGGGCCCTCCAGGGCCTCGGGCTCCCCGAAGCCCACACCGGGACGGCCTCCCTGAGGGGCACACATGTGGTTAAGCACATTTGCCTCAGTGAGCGTATCTCCTTGGTTGGAGGAGCCGTTCCCCCGTCTGTATGCACACAACGGAGACGTCTCTGCGTCTGCTTGTGTCTGTTGTTGGCAGGTAGAGGCCGTCATGCCGTGTGTGGCCAGGGCAGCAGAGACCACAGGAGTGTGTGCTCTGTCCCAGGGACCATGTCCCGCTTCCAGCCCAGGCTCTCTAGATGCGCGTGTCCCCACCGCCTTCTGGTTTCGGACGCACCCCACCCATGCGCAGACCTGGTGGAGCGTCTGCAGCCCTCGGGCTCCAGATCACTGAGCATTTCTGCGGTTTCTCTCCTGATGCTGCTCCAGGACAGAGTCTGCCTGTGCACGTGTGCACGGAGGGCTGCTTCCCCTCTGCTCTGTGCATGTGCTGTGTGGGGGTAGACGCGTCCGCAGTCAGGGCCAGTCGCAGGCCCACTTCTAGCGAGGCAGGGGCTCCAGGAAGAAAGCACACAGCCTCCTGCCAGCTGATACCTCAGAGTCTGGCGGCCTGACACACTGATGACTGGACAGCTTGTCATCCTGGGCCGCGGAAGTCACAGCTGCGTGACGGTCTGGCCAGACTTGGCGTTCCCCATTCTTTCCACCCATGTTCTTCCTTAAAGGGAAAAGCGCCGGACCAGTCAGTGCTCCAGAGGGACCCTAGCTGGAAGCTTCCTCAGCCTCTCTGCAGACTCACGAGCCGTGCAGGTCCCTCGGGGTTTTGCACTGTGAGGTCACTTCAGGTGCAGTGTGAGGCATTCACAGCTGCTGGGGGGTTTCCAACGAGACAGCGTCATGGTCGGACCATTGAATAGGGAGGGGATCCCAGCGAGACAGCGTTGCGGTTGGACTGATCAACGGTGTCGGGGGTCCCGATGAGATGTCGTCGCGGTCAGACCGTTGGACGGGGAGGGGGTCCCGATGAGACGGCGTTGCGGTCAGACCAATCGACAGGGTTGGGGGTCCCAATGAGATGGCATCGCGGTTGGACCATTGAACGGGGAGGGGGGTCCTGGTGAGACGGCACTGCAGTTGGCCCAATCGGCGGGGAGGAGCCCTGTGTGGACGCCCCAGACTCCATGAAAGGTTAGAGTTGGTTGGTCTTGCTCACAAAGGGAGTGCAGTGCCTGTTACTGCTGCGTGTCTGTGCGTGAGTGGGTTACCTGCGGGCCATGGTGGTTCTCCTCTGGGCGGGGGATAGCGGGGCCGTCCCAGAGTGGGGCCCTCAGCCGGGGAACCCTGCAGACATGTGCAGAGAGCACACCATTCATCGAGTAGCAAAGGACCAATCTTGTGTTTTATTCCGTGTGTTGCTTTCGTGTGGAGACGATGACTTTTTATCTGATTGGGTCACACCAGCGATGTTTCTCATTTTTGAAGGGCACCAATTGGCTCCATCAGAGCCGACTAATCTTGGGGTCATAAGTTCGAGCCCCGTGTGAGGATGTGGAGATTACTTAAAGAAATAAAATTTTAAGAAATGCTTCTTTTTTACCGTTGACAATGTGAGCGTTGGAGAATCTAAAGTCACAGGTGTGGCTCTCCTTACATGGGACCTTTGCCATAGCTGCTCTCAGCTCCAGGAGCAAACCAGGCTCTCAAGCCCCCTTCCCAGGGCTGTCTGAATGGCTGCTGATCCCTGGGAAGGTCACTTTGCCTTGTTAAGGGACCTGTGCTATTCCTGTCAGTGCCGGTGCCGTGACGTCTGCGTCATCATGTGGGGACATGTGAGTGCCGGCTCTTTGCATCTGGGCTGTGCTGTGGGCCAGCTGCAGACAGAGCGTGGGGTCTTGGGTACACCCTCTCAGCCCAGCGTGTGAAACAGTCCGTTTGAGGGTTCATAGAGCCCTGCGGCCCTCATTCAGGACAGGTGGGGACAAGGAAGCAGGAGACAGAGCTGCGTGGACAGGGTCACGCCCCTGTGCCACTCGCACTGCTCGTCTGACTGGGTTCAAGACGTTTCCTTTCTTCTCTAGTCCGGGGTCCTGACCTTCTCCTTGCAGCGTGAGTCCTGGAGCAGGACAGTGCTGACCAGTCACAGAGCCTTCTGGGCCCGAAGGACCATCATTGTGGTTGACGACACAAAGGTTGTCAACAGCACGTGCGGCCTGAAGGACCCACACAGGGCAAGGGCCGCTCGTGGGTGTGAAGCCAGGTGTGAGCGTGTGTCCACAGCCAGCCTCCCCAGGGCTGTGGTGTGCGTGTACCTGGTGCACAGGGACCTGCAGGCCGATGGGGAGGGGTCGTTGAGCAGAGCGGCACTGGGGACCTGCCTCCCACGGTGCTGAGCTGTTTACTGTGCCGTTTGGGCCTCAGCCACATGAGGTCATAGGAACGTGGTGGAAAAGACCTCCTACATGAGGTCATGCAGCCCATCCCTCGGAGCCGGCTGACCCCACAATGTACTTTCCAGAGCCACGTCCAGGTTTTCCAGTGACTCAGTGGCTCCCAGAGGGCACAGAGCCTGGCGTCTGAGCCTGTTGCCTGGGTCAGGGATATGCCCCTGAGCCCGGACGGGGCTCTCAGGGATGAGGCCATGTGTGCACACACAGGTGCGGTATAGCCTGTCCACGTCCGAGCACCTGACTGCACACAGCCTCAGGCCCTCCACAGCACGGGTGCAGCGGGGCCCCTGCCGCGGAGCCTTCCAGGACTTGGCGGGGGCTCCTCACGCCCCACTTCATAGTTTTCACAGCTTGTTCGCATTTGTGAGCTCATTCCAGCCTCCCCGCTCCTGAGGAAGGGCTTGATCTTACTAGCCTCTGACCACCTCCCTGCCTCTGATCTGGTCCACGTGGTGGTGGGCGGCACGAGGCTGCCTCATGGAAGTGCATGGGCACTGTGGCCACGCCATCCCCCTGCCCTCAGGGTGCCACATGCTCTCCTCGGCCTGGGCTGCCCCCAGGCTGCAGTGCCACCGGCCGAGCCATGACCATGACATCCGTGTGTGGCGCGCTGCTAGCTGCATTAGGTCTGGGGCCCTCACTGCCAACTCCCATCCCCATGGGGCAGCGGACTTGGAACGCAGCTGTACCCGCTGGATCCCTTGGAAGTTGGTAAATGGCACCCAGGACTCCTCAGAGGACCCACAGTCTGTAGGTCCTTCATCCTAACGCAGCCGGGGGCCTGAAACTCTCCTTCCAAGAGGTAGTAACACTTAACTGCAAGTAGGTGGTCATTACGATTCTTCTTAAAATCATTCCTTTTTGTTGTCAGCTTGAGGGTATTAAATTTTTCAGTGCAGGCTCACCACATTTCACAGTGCAAGTAGTCTCGACGGGCTTGCAGGAAAGCGGCCGTTCTCAGCAGTGCCTGAGACGCCTGCAGCATGACGTGAGTCCCCAGAAGGCTGAGGGGCCTGCTGTTCCAGGGTTAGCCCCTCTTCTTACAGTGCCCCCAGGGCTGTGTTTGGTAGCTGCTTCCTCCCCTCAAGCCGTATGGAGGTATAGTGAGGTGTTTTCTACAGATCAGCAAGAAACAGGGCTGGCTTTTCCTTTTAAATCCCATTCGGCAGTTAGGACATGGATGTAGACAGGTAATGAAGACCAGGACTGGGTCGTGCTTGTACCCTGGGCCAGCCCTCCCTGCTGCTGTGTGACTGGAAGAGCAATGCCCCAGGGACTTTGTCAGGAGGCATGGGGGCTGTGGCCTGGAGCAGGGCCAGAGGGCTGACCCCTCACCTTTCTTTCAGCTCTGCTGCCCTGGGGCTCGGTGCATCCTGGGGGCCAGAGCTCCCTGGGGGTCGGTGCCATCCTGGGTAAGAGCTCCCTGGGACTCACTGTGTCCTGGGGGTCAGAGCTCCCTAGGGGTCAGAGCTCCCTGGGCGTTGGTGCCATCTTGGATCAGAACTCCCTGGAGCTCACTGTGTCCTGGGGGTTGGTGCCATCCTGGGTCAGAGCTCCCTGGGGTTCAGTGCGTCCTGGGGGCCAGAGCTCCTAAGGGGTCAGAGCTCCCTGGGGCTCACTGCATCCTGGGGGCCAGAGCTCCCGAGGGGTCAGAGCTCCCTGGGGGTCAATGCCATCCTGGGTCAGAGCTCCCTGGGGCAGTGCCATCCTGGGTCAGAGCTCTCTGGGGTTCAGTGTGCCCTGGGGGCCAGAGCTCCCTGGTGGTCGGTGCCCCCTGATGGTCAGTGCCATCCTGGGTCAGAGCTCCCTGGGGGGGTCAGTGCCGCCCTGGGGGTTGGTGCCACCCTGGGGGGTCAGTGCTGGTGAGCTGCAGAGCTGAGACCCAAACCCAGAATGGGAGGACAGAGTATTTGTCATCCCCCCAACTCACAATTTCCAAAGTACTGTAAAAGTGATGGAAAGAGATAACGTCTGTTTTTGAGAGTTTAAGAAATGGCAGCCCCTCCTGCCCTGTGCGCTACTCTTACAGATCCTGAGGAAGCTGAAGAGTCTTGCCCTGGACACGGAGACAGAGCTGGAGAGGCAGGATGAGGCCCTGGACGGCATCACTGCGGCCGTTGACCGGACCACCTTAACCATCGACAAGCACACCCGACGTGCCAAAAAACTGACCTAGCACAGGAGAGCGAAGAAGTGACTGGTATTCATGACAGTCACTGCTCTGAGTACTTTGTTCTCAGCACGTGCACGCAGGAGTCACCCCAGGGGCGTGTTAGTAGTCGGAGGCGATGCGGCAGAAGGTGCAGGCTTGCCTCAGGGTGGAGGGCTTATGTGATGTGACCCAGAGCACAGCACACACAGGAAGGAGGAGGCCCCGGAGAGGGGAGTTCTGCCTGCAGATCCAGCAAGCCACCCCCCAGCCCCACACCCACTATGGTGGCCCCAGTTCCTTCTTCCCATACAACCTGTAGGCCCCAGCTCCCTTCTCCCCTGCCTTCTGCAGGCCCCAGCTCCCTACTCCCCTGCTTCCCTGGGCCCCAGATCCTTCTCCCACACGCCACCCCCCAACAACCTGCAGGCCCCAGCTCCCGTCTGCCCCCCTCCCCACAGGCTTCAGCTGCCTTCTCCTCTGCCTCCTGCAGGCTCTAGCTCCCTTCTCCCCTGCTCCCTGCAGGCCACAGCTCCTTCTGCCCACCTCCCTGCAGGCCGCAGCTCCTTCTGCCCTGCTCTAGGCAGGCCCAGGCTCCCCACTCATACTTGAGCGCTTCAGAGGGTCACAGCAGCAGGACGGCCCTTCCCTGCAAGGCCGGCTGCACCCAGTGCTCAGTAGCTGCTTTGCATGGCCAGCATCCCCACTGGCTGAATTGTCTTCTCTTTCTGTTCTTGCTAGCTGTAAAAGGGCAGTGTAAATCTCTGTGAAAGAAATGTGCTGATTTCTGAGTCCGCCCACCTGGACCCTGCCCTCTGTGTCCACAGAACTTCTCCAGGACCATGTTTAGGCCCAAGCCTGCCTCCCCTCTGAGGCTACTCTGCATGTGCCCCTCCCTAGTCGCAGGTTCTGGTTTTTTCTGACAGGCTGGTTTCTTGTTGGTCAGACTGTGACTTTTACCTGAAGTCCAGTATGTCTCGAGGTTGTCCTGCGAACACCGGGAATATTCTTTTCACTGCTCACCTGTAGCCAAGTGTGAAGATAATACATATTGTACCTATTTTAAAAAACTGTTGATTTTTTTTTCTTAAAATGCCCCATTTCTATCCAGAAACAAAAGAGCAATCATAGTTTTAGAATATATTTTGAAGACATGAATTTCTGCTGCTTTTTGCTTGGCTTTGAGTGTCTTAGTGGGAGGGCCCCTCGGGGAAGGACAGACAGGGCAGAGTGGAGAAGTAGGTGACCCCTTCCCCTGTCCTGGCAGAACAGGCCCCCTCCAGACTGCCATGGAGTAGGGTCCCCGAGGGCAGTGCACCCACAGCTGCCCTTGGGCCTTGCCGAGCTGCCCCTTTGAGGCGCCTTTTCTCTGGTTCTCCACAAGCCCTGTGCTGGCATTCTGAGTCCCAGCTGGTTTTCTGGGGCTGCTAATGAGTGACCCCAAATGAGGGGCCTTAGGACAGCAGGTTGTGTCCTCTCCTGGGTCTGGAGACCAGGAGTCTGCCAGCAGGGTGTCACAGGGCCCTGTTCCCTCTGAAGGCTCCAGGGGCTCCCTCCTGCCTCTCCCAGCTCAGGGCGGACAGGGCCAGGGATTCTGGGCCCGTGGCTGCATCTCCTCCTATCCTGTCCTCTGCCACTGTCCGCTCTGAAATCCCCCATCCCTTCTCTCGTCAGGCCCACCTTTGTGTTGTGTGGCAGTTTCCACTAAGGTCTCATTCCAAGGTTTGGTGGAGTCATCTAGGAGCACTTTGCCTTCTGGAGGCTGACCTGTTCATGAAGACACAGGAAGGAGCAGTCGCAGAGAATAGCCTTCGCAGGGTCCTTCCAGTTCTGAGTCCGCCCACCTGGACCCTGCCTTCTGTGTCCACAGAACTTCTCCAGGACCATGTTTAGGCCTTCTGCCCCTTCTTTCAGTGTGCTGAATTCTGTTCCTCATCTCCAGCTGCCGTATTTGCTCTGTACTCCACAACCTTCCCAATGAGAAGTGCTCCTGTCCTCGCTAGCACTGGCGTGAGGGGTTGCTCCCAAGCTTTCCCAGCACAGTGAGGATGAGGACTCTCTCTCTCCATATCTGTGGAGAGAGCCCTGAGCAGAGGGGAAACAAACCTGCCCATCTGTGACACTGTCCTGAATCGCTAGAGGGTGCTGCTAGGGAGGTCAACCAGCGTCCACTTGTCCTAAAGACAGGCACTGCTCAGCACCTGTGGGGCCCAGGGACCGCACACACTTCGGCCAGTGACAGGAGTCTGCCCAGAGCAAGTCTGCTGTTGTTGGGATGCTTACAACCCTGGACACCGGGTGAGAAGGTCTGTGGGACTGAAGGCATTGTACCATTATTAGAGGGCTGTTGTCCGGGCCGTTCTCTCCCATAAACACCTCAGTGATAGAAACTACACTCTGTTTCTCTGCGGAATTACAGTGTTGAAAAGAAAGGTCCATCAGGATCTTCTCATAGTATTTACTAATCTTGACTTGACCCCAGACTTGTTCACCTTAGACCCTTCCAGTGGCAAAAAGTCCATAGCCAAACCCAATTTGCCTGGAGCCTCAGCACCGAACCCTACCTGTGGCACTGACTGCTCGTCTCCATGGCAGACAAAGAAGTGCAAAACCCTTTGAAACCAGGCAGTAACTTCAAGCCCAACTCCAGCGCAGGTGTACCCCACCACCTCCCACTGTTCCCACAACTGCCCCTCACCCTAAGTACTCTAACTCTATCCCCACTTCTCTTCACCCCAAGTACTGTAACCCCACGCCCCACTGCTCCCACCCCAAGTGCTCTAACCACCCCCAGTGCTCCTGCCCCAAGTGCTGTAACTCCACCCCCACTGCTCACCCCAAGTACTATAACCCCACGCCCCACTGCTTCTACCCCAAATACTCAAACTCCACCCCCACGGCTCCCACCCCAAGTGCTCTAACTGCACTCTTCAGTGCTCCCGTCTCCAGGTGCTCTAACTTTATCCCTATTACTCTTCTCTTTATGTGCGCTCACTCCATCTCCTCTTACTACACCCTGGTTTGGGTTGCCTGCCTCTGCCTCCATGTTTTGGAGTCTTGTAGAGGACATAACCAGGAGCGGCCACAACATAGCCCCTGGAAGCTGGACTAGGGGAGCAGGTGAGTAGTCTGGCTTAGGGTCTCTCCGGTGATCCTCGGGTAGCCTGGGAATTGCTGTGTTGGCTGGAGCCGAGTTCTCTGGGTCAGGTGAGTAGATTCTCTGGGGAGCGTGAGGAGGATCATCCTGGTCTGACTGTAGTCAGCAACAGCCAGCTCTTCGGAATGGGGCCTCTGGCATCTCCTCCTTCCTGTTTTACTTTCCTGATGTGGACTTGAACTCTGACATTGGCACTCAGTCCTGGTGTGGGGTTGAGGTCCCCAGGTGCTTTGTTCCTGCATCAAAATTTGTTTGCCTTTCAACTGATGAGTGGGATTGTGTTGGTCCGTTGTCACCCTGTGAGGTGTGTGCACACCCTGAAACACAACTTGCTTTTGGATTTTGCTCGGCATAACTGGGCCAGAAGCAAGACTCTTTGCAGCTGCGATTCCAGCCTTGTGCTGACATGAGACTGCTGGTTCTCAAGACCAAACAGTCCTGAGTTACTCAAGTGTTTTTGGGCAGGGATGGGCACATATCTTCTATAAAAGGCCCAGAAGTAACTCCTTCACCTTTTGAGCCGTGGGATGCCTATTGCAGCACCTGAGGTGGCTATTTACAAGACAGCAGCCTGGACTTGTAAGCAGATGGGTTTGCTGTGTTCAGATAAAGCTGCCCATGACATCTGAGTGGCATTAATTCCATGTGTCGTGAAATGTTTCTTTTCTGGATGTTACCTTTGAACTACTTGAATTTTAAACTCGTCCCAGCACGCAAGCTGTAGGACACATGGCAGGCCCACCACCCGCACAGGGGTGTGTGTTCCTTATGAGGCTGTACTTGGCCTTGTCCTGGAGGGTGACACATGGCCCTCTTCAGCCCCAAACTCGAGTGTGGCCTGGGCCGAGAGATCCCCACACATTCCTGGTCCGTGCTCAGCTGCTCCGAGCTTCAGAGGCTGTAGCGATGGCAATAGTCCTGTCCCCTTAAAAGGCAGAGCTGGGAGAGGGGTGGAGGGTGAGGGGAGGAATGACTGGTGCTGGTTTCTACAGTGGTTTTCTCTACAGACCCCCAAACCCGCACACGCAGAAATTTTAGGAGAGGAAAAAACAAACGTCCTTGAGACATTTTCAGACACCACACACACCAAAACTTGACTATGTGCAGGCAGTCAGGGTGGGGGCTCTTGCTTGGGTTTGGGGTCTGATAAAACTCCCTCTCGGAGGCAGCTCTGTTGGTTGGGGGTCAATCCTGGCGTGAGACTACCAGCCTCACCTGTAAGGAGCCCCTCCATTCTCACCTGCTGCCAGTTTAATTATTAGCTATAGGTTTGAGTAAAGCTTGAAAGATGCAAATTGTAGTCAGTTTTCACATTTGCAACTGATTTCCACATTCACATAATATTTCAAACTTCTGGCACCCATCTGGAAACTTGGAACAGCAGTGAGCCTGTCCAGGAGGTAATTTTCCCTGATTCATTTTGAAAGTGAAAAGCCACAGGGCTGGAGGCAAGGGTGGTCCTGCTTCCCAGAAGGGCCGCTCAGTCCTGGCCCCTGGTTTCCTCAGCACAAGCAGGCAGGCAGCAGCAGAGGGAGGGTATCGCTTTGCAGATCCCAGGAGCTCCTCCCACCCCAGGAAAGCCACACGGGCTGCACTTGGTGTGTGGGGGGGGGGGGTGCGTGCTGCCCGGTAAGCAGCCCTAGGCTGCGGGGCAGGGAGTGGTGGGCAGGACCAGCGTGCAGACTGGGCTCTGTCAGCCTGGCCTGCATGCCCAGGGCTCCAGCAGGTGTGGGCAAGCATGTCCTCCAAGCACAGGTGGTGCCTTGTCAGGCACACCTGCCATCCCAGGGCAGTGCTCCACACCGACCCTCTGCTTCATTCTCCCACCAGATTCCGCAGGGTCCTTTAGATGTTGCTCACCATCTCCTGTCCCCACCCCTGCCCTTTTTCTCTCACCCTAAGAAGAGAAGTTGAGCCGAGGACAGATGGCTTGCTTTCCCCAATGATCTTCTTGGAGCAGACAGGGAGGTTAGGAAAAGTGCATCTTCCCAAGAAGGAGCAAAGGGCTTGTGTCCCTCTGGTTGCAGGGTGCAGAAACCCAGGTGTAGGTGGAGGAGGGTCAGGGCCTCACAGGCCTCCCAGGAAGTGCTGACACAGCCAACACCACTGCCCTTGGGGCTGCCCCACCCACACACAGTGGCCTGGCCATGCACTGGCACAGAAGTTGGTGAGGCTGATCCTTGCGTAGAGGTGCCCAGATGCCCTGGGGAGGGTGGGGGCAGCCACTGTAAGGCAAGGAGGTGAAAATGAAGGGAAGAGTCCCTAAAGTTGACTCGAATGCTAGCCAGGGAGGCCAGAAGGGGGGCACGAAGAGCTGTCATTTCAGAATCA